CACACAAATAAAAAAAAAAAAAAAAAAAAATATATATATATATATATATATATATATATAGTTATCAGTGAAATGTGGTGGCAACGTCTCCTATTTTTCTCCTATTATTTACAATGCTATAGAGGCACTGCTACCTGACCTTTTTTCTCTTGATTTTCACCATTATGTCGCTCAAATTCATGCCATGCCATACTGTTGGACCTAAATGAGAACATGATGAAATCAAAGCAGCCAAAAAAGACTCACCAAGACTGCATTTATTTAATTAAAAATATGTAAAAACAGTAATATTGTGAAATATTATTATAATCTAAAATAACTGTCACATGATCCTTTAGAAATCATTCTCGTATTCTAAATTGGGTGTCACATTTCTACAACTGTACACACTGACAGGGATGTAGTTTAGTTCCGTAAGGCTTGGCTTTTTTTCAGGTTGATTAAAGATCCCGTGTTGATTTCGTTCAGAGTCGCACTGAATAGCGGACATAAAGCCGAGCCAGCAGCTCATCAAATGCGCCACACGATACCCACATTAAAGGTAATGTTTCTGCCACTCCATCTCGCATTGTTTTATTTTGCTCTCTGGCTTTAATGAATGTGACAGAATTATGCCACTTTAAAACCGTCTGCTTTATTGTTCTATTTGTTTATCTATTTCTTATTTCCTCGTCTTCTCCCAGCTCTCATCTGTCATTCTTCGGTGCTTTCATTTTATTGGCCGCTCTGTAGAGCGGTACCGTTGATCGCTGCCCATTTTCGGATTAGGAGATTAAGTTATTCATCACTCACCGAGCTCCCTGCTGCGCCACTGCTATCAGGACACCGCCAAATCACAACATCTCAGCCAGCCATTTCAAAATAATTGAATGCACAATAATTTCCCTATTAATACATTTCTCATATTAGAGATTATGCATGAAACATCCACATTATCTGTGGCAGTGTTTTCCTTCTCTCTTTTTTTCCCCTGAGTGCCTGTGTTAATGTCTTGCTCCTCTCCAGTAAATCTAATAGACAGGATTGAATAGCTCACGCCAGGATGAAGGGATAGGTTACAGATAGCCTCCTCTTTTTTATTTATTCATTTTTTTCCTCTCCCTCCCTCTCCTTCTCTGGTGGAAGATGCAGAAGAAAATTAAAGAAAATCGATCATTTTCGAGGCGGGTGGCGAGGACGAGCTGTGACGGTTGCTACGCCAACAGTAACTCAGCCTCTCACAGCTGTCTCGTAGAACTTGTGTCATTTTGCGGGATAAATTTATTGATTTTTTCATCTTTTAAGCATTAATTATACTGAATTCAAAATTTCACTGATTAAGTAGGGGGAATTCATTCAAGTGAAGGTGTGCTATGTCAGCACACGTTAGCTCTGAAATTAATCATATGTTTTGTACATTGCACTCAACACACAGCAACACAAGGCATATCAATGGATGTGTCATATATGC